TGAATTGTTATGACAGCTGACATAACAAGCCAGAGGTGGTTATTAACAAGCCATGATTCTGTCTATTTGGAAGCATTTTCCTCATTGTTATTTTTATATAAAGATATATTTTCATATTTCCCCACTTTCCTTGCTTGCTTTCAAATGTAACACAGTTTCCTAACATATCATGTGGAGAAACGGCACAATTTAATGAAGGTACGAATCCAAAAAAAGAGAATGTATATTCATATTATTTTTATATTTTGTGGTGGACAAAAATATAAAAAAAAACATGAAATGCTTACATATTCATATTTATTGAAAAGCTGTTTTTAACCTTTCTAAAGGATATTTATAAATAAAAATCCAAGTTCATTAAAATAATATATATGATGCGGAATGAAGTGGATGTGTGGATGTTTGGCTCTGGAACATCAGCAGGGTATCATGACCTTTTGAGGAAAAAGCAAAGCATTGGTATATAATTTTATTTGAGTTTGGTTGCTTGTGTTTGTATTTGTATTAAAATATTTTATTTGTGATCAATTATTTGTAAATTGTTGAGAATAAATAATATGTTGTGTATGTGGCAGCATTTACTTGTTTTAAAAAAGGTAAGGTATTTTCATTGCAGATTCTGCAAGAAAGCCTGCTAACCATTGAATATTATTCTATAAACATCGATTATCATAGCTCTGCTAGTCATTGAGAAAATATTCTTTATAAATGCAATATTATAAGTTCTATATATAATATTGCATATATTTTTAAATTTACTTATGGATCCTTAAAAAACTCTATAGACCTGACCTGAAAAAATATTAATAAAAATGTCAGCTTATAGATCCAGTAATTCTTATAATTTATCTCTTTAAAACCCCACGCTTATAGCTCTGACAGTTCCTAAGTCCTCGAAAAAATATCCTCTAAAAATCCTAACTTAACCTTGACAAAATATTCTATAAAAATCAACTCTCATAACTCTGCTAGTCATTAAGAAAAAATTCTTTATAAATCCAAGATTATGGGTCCTTTATGGATCTAATAGATCATTGAGAATATGATAGAACAAACATTTTTCTAATTCGCTTATGGATCCTTAACAAATCCAATGGGAACTTAAAAAAAAACATAAAAAATCCAATCGGAACTTTTCATCAAAAATCGGATTACCTTATGTGGATACTCCGTTCGGATGAAGGGACCGAGTAACCGATTTCATCCGAACGGAGTATCCATTTTCATCGAAACTTTGCACGACGGAGGAGTCTACGATCCGCAATAAAGCTGTTACAACAACAAAATAGAAATATATTTTTTCCATACACAGATCAAGTTCGAAGATGTAGGGGTTGCACTTGCCATATATCTCAAGGATTGTTTTGCCGAAAATCTATTCGCGACTTAAGGCCAAAATTGTCACTAGCGCCATCTATTTGTTGAAATTATATTGGCCAGATAATTAATTCAGTATGTTAGTAACATTCAATAATTTTTTTTTGTTCGCCTGGAAATTCTTTGATGTACTTCAGCCTTTGTGAGGTTTCGTTGCATTGAAGAAGGCTTTTCTCTGCCATTTTGTCGAATAACCTACGTAAGAAAAGTTTCATTTAAGCTACAATCATTGAGCTCAGTCAATAGACCAGTTTTATTTATTTTTTTAACTTCGTTCGATTTTGTTTTTGAAATTTGTAATTTACTTTATTTTCCCAAAATGATGTTATTTTATTACCTAAATGTTAATTAACCTAGGTCTATCAAAATATCAAAGTAAATTCTACAATTTTCCTTTTTGAAACATCATATATATGAAGGTTATTTTACTTTCATCATACTGAGAAAGAACTTCATTATCATCTTCATAATTAGAAATAATTATTCTCGGTGTCATTTCGTAAATGCGGTAAGTTATAAATTGCTATTACAGAAAGAGAACAAATGCGAACGATATATTGTTTTTGTATTCTATATTACATCAATTAGGATTGGCACCTAATACTGTAATTCCATTATTCTTGTTGCGAGACATCGAAGTCATAAAAATACTGTTTTTTTTCTGCTCCGAGCTTCAAGCTAAAACCTAGACCTCTGCCTTTGTTGGAATTTTTCGATCGAGTCAGTTCTATTGAGAGTGCTCAGACAACAGAGTAACGAGAAACAAATGATACATAGCGTGGAATAACTCCGATCAACGTGGCATTTATGGTTAATTAAAATGAAGAATTGCATTAAAAAGTTGTCCAAGACGTATCATAAGCTTGGTCCATAAAATTCAACCAAAATGACAGGAGATATGATAAAATATATGGAAATATAAAAATTTCGGTGATTTGGAAAAATTGTTAAAAAAAATGTATTAAAATGGAATCTAGAGCTACAGATAATACAAGGTAAAAAAATTCCAAGGCAGTGCAGTGGAGTGGTTTAATAGTCTCATCATCAGCCTACAAATTGTGCATATTCAATATAAGTGGAATCAGCAAGAAAAAACTTTAAGCTGAAATAGCTATTGAATAGTGAATAACTGCACTTAATAATATTATTTAATCGGGTTAAGTTTGTGATAAATACTTCGAAGATGCACTGTATAATGTTTTTTCCTCTTTATTAAAAATTCTTTAAACCTGTGCATCGAACATATAGCTAAAAGCATACTTGGTGAACAATCAACGTCACGTGTATATGGTTATTTTATCATTACAACTCAGTATGAGTGCCTTTAGTCTCTTTGCGTCATTATTCTTTTATGAGATTTGCCGAAAGTAAGCTTTTAGCTACATGTTGAGAGTGATCTGTTTCTGCACTCACTAATGAATACTGCCTTTCAGACGTTGACGCCGTATCAAAGAGTACACCAAAAACCCGTAACTTCTCTCAACAGAAAATACCTCTGCTACGCATACCACACATCGGAAGGCCTTTCCACGTTGGAGCTCTCTCTATTATAGCAAGTTATTCTGAGTATTTAATATATTTTTTTCTCTGCATTTTTTGGTATATTCTGATTACGGTATCAATATCACAATTGTTGCGAGCGTTTTAATACATTAGAGTGGGTACGGGGAAAAATATTTCATCACAAACATTTGTTATTCAAACTTTGGAACTTCAAATTAATTAAAAATATTATATTTTATTTATCATATATGTTAGTTTTACATCCTAAAATTTAAGATTGATGAACTATTAATAATGTTAGTTTCTAAGGAATTTTTAGTATTAGCAAACACTTTTTTATGAATTTTTCATTCTTCAATAATAAAACAATTATGGATTTAGTTTAAGCTTTTAAATAACCTGTTTGATTTCCAGATGAAGTAGATAGTTAGGTCATTCTTTTTACTTGGGATCATAGGAAAAATTTTATGCTTTGGTACCGTCACCTATGACATGGCTGGGAGGGCAAGTGGGCGCTCATTATTGGCAAATGCAGCCTCAAAAACAATACCTGTTCCCTACTATCGCTACCTCTTTTTTCCTTTTGCGCGTATAAATAAAATATTTGTATTGTGGTTAAAATATTTGGCTAGATAAAAATCGATCCTACCCCAACGACGAGCTTTCCAGTCCAGTCGAATCTTTTGGTGTTGTCCACACCTGTTGTGGGTAGGTGAGTAGATTTAGTATCTCATTCCTGTTTGGTTTTTAATGATCCAGAACAGTTTCGGATTTAACTGTTTTAACATATTTTTAAGGCTTGTTTAAGTTTATCCAATGAGTCTCTTTCCGGTAGCATATTTTCACCTGACGTGACTACTCTTATAAAAGGTATTCGATGTGACTCAAAACTACTGTTTAGGATCCGATTGTTGTCTGTACCATATTTATGTGCGGTCTATTGTGTCTGGTGTCGATCCACTCGTTAATTACTTTAGGCCTTAAAGCTGCAACGGCCGCTTTTGTCCGAATTGACCCACATGTACGTAGGCAGCATGTTATCGGGACTTTCTTTAAAGATTTTGCATCACATTTCACCAGACTACAGACGCGTTTTGGTTAATTAAGGATCTTGTAGATGCAGTTTATCATTTTTGCATTTAACCTCCATTTAGAGCCTGCGGTTCTTCTGTAGAAGGACAATCCCTTCATCCCTTCATTCTTTCATATTTTGTTTTTTCAGCCTTTATGTACATTACGTTAGGATTATTTCTCCTCGTCAGGTCCATAAGAGATTATTAATAGTGGTGACCCATAGGTGTGGTGACTTAATTTATCCCTACGATGTCCCCTGTACCATGTTGTACTGATTGTTATGACTTGATGGCTACAGTTTTTCTATCTACTCCTTAGCATATGGTTGTCCCAGTCTATGATTGACTGGTCAACCCGAAAGGCTTCTAAGAACTGAATAAGCGTTTCAGTGCCCACATACTTGAAGGCTTCCTCGATATCAATGAATATAGCTAAAGTGTACACTGTCTTGTCGAAGTGGATCTCAGTGTGTAACTCTCTTTAGATACGCATGTGGTTTATTATTACAGCACATTATTGGTGTGCTGATCTTTATTATGGTGTCGACTATCCGATCCATGGTTTTGAGTAGAAATGAAGTTAGGCTTATTGGTGGGTATGATTTTGGTGTTGTATATTGTATCTTGCGGGGTGGGGCTCGTGTCAGATATTCATGCGTTAATAAATGCTCGTCATACTAGGCTCACTTTCGTACACCGTCCAAAACTTCGTCGCAATTGGAATTTCATTGGGTATGTGGTGCATTTGCATATAGGAGCTATATCTAAATATGAATCGATTTAAACAATATTTCATACACGTCATCCTCAATTTCGCTATGCGTACGAAATTGAGCCTGTAAATCTGAAAAAAACCAGGTGTATGACTCTGGTAGTCCTTAAACCCAATTTTCAATAGACCACAATTAAATATTTGCTTGTATTTGAAAAAATAGGTTTGAAAAAATCCACGCTTATGATTCTGCTATAGTGATGCAAAATCCTACATACTATTATCCAAAACAATTATATTTTTTAAAAATTTAATATCATAAAACGAAAACATACCTCATATGAACCAGCCGTATCCAAAATATCCAATGTTAAACTGACACCGGCTATAGAAAAATTGCCCTGATGCATCTCTTCGATGGTTCTCTTGTATTTGGTCGTAAATGTGTTGTAAAGGAATTGTGTAATTATTGAGGTTTTACCGACTTTAGCAGCGCCCATAACAACGATTTTGTGACGTGCATTTGTCGGACCGATGGCATCGTCCACAGCATTATTCCGGCCAACTCTGGAAACACACACAAAACAATAATAGCAACAAAAATGTTAGCATAGAAATTTGTGAGGATGTGTTTAGGTTCTACAATAGAGTGTAATGAAATAAAAATAAATTTGAAATTATATTGATGGAAAGAAATATTGAACAGTCTATAGAAAAGCTAGAGACCTTCTATTGTCAATAGAAGAGTTGGAGATCTTCCATTGTCTATAAAAGGGCATTTTATGTTGTCCACAGATGAGCTACAGGTTTTCTATTGTCCGTAGAGGAGCTAAAGATTTTCTATTGTTCATTGAGGAGCAAGAGGTCCTCTATTGTTCATTGAGGAGCAAGAGCTTCTCTATTGTTCACAGATGAGCTGGAGGTCCTCTATTGTTCATAGAGGAGCAAGAGGTCCTCTATTATCCAGTGAGTAGCTAAGGGTTATCTTTTGTCTACGTAAGAGAATGACGTCCCCTATTGAGTATATAGGAGCTAGAGACCCTTCTATTGTCCACAGAGGAACAGGAGATCTTGAGTTTTTCATGAAGAATATAGAGGTATTCAATTCTTCCTAGGAGTGCAGTAGTCACATAAAGGCTTTCTATTGTTCACAGATTATTTTCCGAGATATACTTTTAACTATAAGACTAATTGTTTTGTGTAAGGTCCCTAGAAGAGGACATTAAGCCTCAGCTATACCTTGGACTATTATATTGTCCCAATAAACACCAAATGTTATTTTCAATCTAATTTGTTTCAATCACATTAGAACCTAATGTCCCAGCATATGCACACATGCGTTCACATTCGGAAAAAGAAGGGATAACCGGAAAGGTAGCTGGCTAGCTACATCAACTAGTACATATGCATCCGTTCATAATAGAGATTGATGTTCACTTGGATGAACGTTCGACTTACTGTTACATGTAAATGTGGGTGATGGCATAATGACTGTCAAAGAGTAGCCGGGGAGGGTGTGAGTGACTTTGGTGACTGCAACCTTGGTACATTGGCAGCTGGATGGGATCTTGAATGGGGTTAAAGATGTGAGTTTATGGAGGTGTTGTGTTTGCTGTTGGAATGGGTGTTCTGTATCCACTGCTATGGTCGGGTATATTGTTTAGTGTTACTGAATGGTTTCATAATGGATTTAGATTGTTTTCACTTTGTTGGCTTGTTCGTTGTCGTTCTCAGCAGACAGACAGACGGACTGACGTAGAGAGATGTTTGGCGTGTCAGCTGTGGTTACTGTGGCATGTTCCTTTCTTCCCCATCCAAACAAATTCAATTATAATTGTTGTCGTCGTTGTGTAGATATGTTTGTATGCGTGTCTGTGTTTGATGGTGGGTGTGTACATATTTAGTACTGGGTGGTTAAATAAATTTATAATAAAATAAACCCAACCGAGAGGTACCGAGTACAAGTCTAACCCCAAATGTGGTTTGTGCCATTTGCTTTGGTTTTGAAGCATCTAACTGGATTATCGCAGGGAATTAGTCATGGCCGTTGATGATTGCATTAGTTTGCAGATTTTTCTTCTTCAACGTTCAGATTGGAAAGGTTATCGAATAGTTATTTAAATCAAGTTACACGAAATAGAGAATTTAGGTTAAATATGTTGCAAGTTCGGAAATGTTTTAAATGTATTATGGGGGATAAAAACATATGGGGAATAAATATTATACATCCGTTTGCAAATAATACGGAAGTAAACCAAGGATGTCATCTCAGAAAAGAGTCATAAAAGGGGGTCTTTCACTACTACTCGAAGACTTAAATAATGCGGATGATATCTGCCTTCTCTCCCACATGATATCCAATATGCAGTCAAAATAATGATTCCGGGAGATATTTGATCGAAACTTTGGCCATGAGATTAATATCAAGAAAACATGCTACAAAGTCAAGCAATTGAATGCGCCGTTAGTTTTTGCTTTCTAAGAAGCAACAATAGGCTGAACCGAGGCAGAGTAGCATTTGGATGACTGCAATGTGAATAGAGAAGCTCGCATATATCCAGGAAAACATAGCTTAAATATTCGAAACATGTATAAATTGGATTCAGTTATATGTCAGTGAAACCGGACTTGTGTCCAATATGATAAAGCAAAACCAGGAAAGTAGCAAAGTCGGACGGGGCCGACTTTATGATACCCTTCACCACTTTGGGTATATTCAACAGATGAATTCTAACAGACATCGCATAAACAACAACATCGCATAAACAACCTATACTAAATTTTTCATTTGGTCAGATAAAGAGCTGCTTCTTACTAATATCAATCGGACACCCGTTGATTATTTGGATAAATATCTGATAAACATGAGAGGTTTGGTGCACCATTTACTTAAAATCGGACGAAAAGCTATATCGAAATCTAAACCGATTTAATCGAAACTTGTCAAAGGTTAGGTTACACTAATTTCAGTATGTTTTGTGCATATCTGCCACATTTTATAGTTCTTGGTGCATCATTTACTTAAAATCGAGAGAAAATATATATGGTAGCTCTATCCAAATTTGAACCGATTTCAACAAAACTTTCCACATGCGAGGTGATATTAACTACATTATGTTGTGCAAAATGTTGTGTCAATCGGCCTAATGTTGGGTCTTTTGTGTATCATTTAACTAAAATCGGACGAAACTATATATGGGAGCTATATCTAAATCGGAACCGATTCTTTCAAAATTTGGTGTGCCATTCGGACCCACATGGGGAGGTTGGTGTAGAATTTACATCTAACTTCTAGGTTATACTAATTTCAGTACGTTGTGCAAAATTTTGTGTAAAATAGGACGAAAATATATATGTAGAAGCTATATCTAAATATGAACCGATTTCAACGGTACTTGCCAGAGATTAATTTATATTGACTACAGTTCATTGTACAAATTGTGTGGTAATCGGACAAAATTTGGGTCTTTAGTGCACAATTTACATAAAATCGGAAGAAAATGTATGTAGAAAATATATATGGGATCTATATCTAAATCTGAACCCATTTTCGCGAAACTTAACACACATTATTCTAGACTTAATTCAGTACCCCATGCAAAATTTCGTGCAAATCGAAAAATACATAGGGACATTAAATCGAACGAAAATATATATAGGAGCTATATCAAAATCTGAACCGATTACCACGAAACTTAACACACACCATTCTAGACTTAATCGAACAAAATCGAAAGATATATAGGGTTTTGGTGCACCAATTACCTTAAATCGGATGAAAATATATATGGGAGCTATATCTAAATCTGAACAGATTTTCACGAAACTTTGCACACATTATTATAGACGCAATTCAGTACGCTGTGCCAAATTTCGTGCAAATCGAAAGATATATAGGGTCTTTGGTGCACCAATTACCTTAAATCGGATGAAAATATATATGGGAGCTATATCTAAATCTGAACCGATTTTCAGGAAACTTAACACACATCATTCTAGACCTAATTAATTACGCTGTGCCAAATTTCGTGCAGATCGAAAGATATATAGGGAGTTTGGCGCACCATTTTCCTTAAATCGGACGAAAATATATATGGGAGCTATATCTAAATTTGGACCGATTTCCAGGAAATTTTACACACATCATTCTAGACCTAATTCATTACGCTGTTCCAAATTTCATGCAAATCGAAAGATATGTAGTGACATTGGTACACCATTTACCTTCATTCTGACGAAAATATATATGGGGGCTATATCTAAATCTGGACCGACTTCCATGAAACTTAACACACATCATTCTAGACATAATACATTACGCTATGCCAAATTTCGTGAAAATCGAACGATATATAGGGACATTGGTACACCATTTACATTAAATTGGACGAAAATATATATGGGAGCTATATCTAAATCTGGACCGTTTTTTCCAAATTTCAAT